CCCCCCCCCCCCCCCCCCCCCCCAATTGAGAACCTGTTTCATCAACGAGCCGTTTTCATCAAGCTATTACCAAGTCTCAGCAAAGGCACAATTAACTCTAGGCTAAATCATGATTCTCATCACCCCAGCTAATGCATAGGAATACACATTAAGGGCCTTATCTTTTAATTAATCTGAAGTGTGTGTGTGCAGACAAATATCCGGATGAGCATTAGTCAGAAGGAAAACCAATGTGAATGCTCAGTGCTGTCAACACAAAGAAAGGTGTCTGAATCGACACAGTACAATATCTTGTTCTGTTCCTTTGGTGCATTAAAGGTGCTGATTGCGTAGCGCTGAGAGAACCTCTGGTGTCCAAAGGTAGACGGGTCTGCCATTGTTAATTTGCGACGCTTGGCATGAACTTTGCCTGTGCTGCATTAAGAATGAATGTGCGCGGGTTACAGACGCTCTTTGACTTGCATAAGAAGGGTTTGTTTTTGTGCCTTTGTGTTTCATATTTAGAATATGATGGAATTAGCTTAATTTCTCTGTTTTTATATATTTTTAAATTGAATGTCTTCTTGTTTTGGACTGTTGGTTGGACTGGGCCCTGATGAATTGTGATGGGTATTTTTTTTTCCATCAATTTCTGACAATTTATAGACCAAACAATGAATCAATCAATGGGCAAAATAATTGGCAGATAAGATAATTGTTAGCTGCAGCCCTAGAATGAGTGCAATCTGCTTCATTCATACAGTGTATTTCTTATGTATACCTGTGTATACTTACAAATGACCAAACTGATTTATATTCTGTCATTCAAAAATATATATTGTTAATGTATCAAACCCAGTCTAAAGGATATACTCTAAATGGACATTAGTAGCAAATGCGCGTGGTTCTGTTTGTACTACACTGAGCGTCTGCACAGACGGAAGTGTTCATACGTTTGCCTGTACAGTTCTTTGCAGCCATGCACATGCCGAAAGTATCGTGCATAGAATGACAAACGCGGCCTTGTGCGTCCGTGGTGACCCTTCACAGTGGTGCCTGACTACTGGGTGCTGCAGCTGCTCGGGGCTGGCATGGCATCTGGTTGGTTCTGTGGCTGCAGCTTTGCTGATGCTCAGATATTTAGAGCTTTGTCATACAGCAACCCACCCATGCAGATACACTGATGGCCATAATAAAACAAAGTATTGCCAGGAGCCTAGATTATATGTTTATCTCTGCATATAATCGCAAGTGTGTTGTAAAAACCTTACAATAGTTTAAAAGCCTTTTGGCTTTTGTAAGTAAGGAGTTTGTGGAGCCTTTTGTAAAGGTTACTGTCTTCTGATACATATATTTTTAGTGCTATCCCGAGCTGTAGGAAGGGAGCAGCCGAAACATTGTGTCAACTTCTTAATTCAAAAAATTGGACACCTGGTGTCGAGCTTTTTCCGGCAAGCGCACATCTCTGTAGAGCCGGCCTTTTTTCTGTAGCGCTTGTTAACGGTCCGTCAGATGCGGTGAGTGTGCCGACAGTGAGATAAGCCACAGACGCACGTCCGCCCACTAGCAGCCAATTAAAATTCCATGTGAGTCACATTTTACCTTGCGCATCTTTCAGTCAGGGATGTGTTGATGAGCTGATTTATGTCGCCGGCGTGTTGTTTTTTTGAGCGTGTGTTTATGTATAGCATGAATGAAGAACGATGGGTCTTTCAGCATGAGAGATCATTAAGGTGGCGCTCTCGAGGAGCACGCCATCTCTCTGATTCCTGAGGAATCCATTCAGCCACCAGCTATACTTGGATCTAAATATATCCAATCCTCTCGGTGACGAGGGGGAGTCACAGGCCGAAATTGCTGTAAACGTGGAGAGAAAGTGAGTGACTTTTCCTTTGACCCGCTGTCTAGAGCTGAGCAGTCCAGTAAATGTAACAGTTGTTCTTTTTGGGATGAACAAAATGTCTGGTTTACCTCTGCCAGACCAATGGCTCAGATGATATGCTGTGGAAAGTCTCCCTGTAGCGGAGATGTAGCTGTGTAAAGATGCTCACAGGCACACATGGCTGCAGAAGAGCTTTTTCATTCCTCACTGAGTGGTCTGCTTTACTCACTGTTGTTTAATGGCTTTTATTGTTGTTCAGATGGCCAGTGAGCCAACGTTTCCGTCCGTTCCTACATGTATCCACATTTGTAAGAGTTCGCAAGTCAGCCGTATTAAAAACATCTCTCCTTATTGTGTTAGTCCATCGTTGCTGATTCAGCCTCATTCTCAGGTTTTCCAGATTCCAGATCAGGCCAGCGATGAATCAGAGTGGCTCACCAGGGCCGGTCCGTAATACAGTCATCGCTTCTTTAACGGTGGTTGGAGACGGCACTTCCCGCTGCACCACACACGGGTCCCACTGGGCTGCAGCTCGTGGACCTTCAACAAAAATATTAAAAAAGCTTCTTATTTTCCCGTCAGTGGTTCTTAACCAACTGTAACTTCTCGACTATGTGACTGCTGTTTCCACCTTCAGGCACATCTGTCCTGCTAAACATTGCCCGTCAAAGACAAACCCACGAGCATCAGTTGGCTGATGAAGCCAAGATGAAGTATTGGTCTCCCACCTTTATCCCACCTGGTCATTTCTTTTCAAAAAGTCAAGTTTGAACTAATTCAAACTAACTAATCATTCAGATTAATTTGAATGAAACCCATGTAGCATATTCTGACAAGGGTCCTGAGGATGAGTGTGGCAAAGTAGGCAGGTTAATAAAGAAGTACAGTTAACGTCACTCCACTCATCTCTGTTGCCTCCCCTGTTGGCAGCAGGCAGGTGAGTGATCAGATTTGTTGTCTTTGTCTGTTTGCTGTCTGCGGCGTAGCACCCCAAAGTGCTTTCACACACTGCTTCTCAGTTGTTTTATTGTCGAGATAATCCAATCAGCATGGCATTCCCTGCTAGTTTCCTCTATTTTATTTAAACGCTTAGTTCACTGATAGTTCATGCAATAGGTCGAGCTGAGCATTTGAAGAACGCCTTTTTGGTATTGTGCTCACAAACAAATGTCAAGTTGCGTAACTAATAAAACACAGTGCACGAATAGATGCTGAGTGATATGGTAATCTGTGCCTCCAATTTACAGCTTGTTTTTCCTCATTTGTACACCAGCTTAGCATTTTTCAAAGGAAATATATTTGCCGAGTTCCCGCCTACTTGTGTGGATTCATTTGAGACCGTTTTACCGTGCCGTTTCACACAAAGTCCACAAACACTGGGAGCATGTGACTCGTAAAATGTCACGCGACTTGTTTCTCGTACAAACACGATGCACAAACGCGTGCAGAGTGATCTGTAAATCGGTATCTGTGCCATTTGTAAATAAACACAAAACGAATGCATTGTCATATTTTTACTAGAATGTCACCATTTGCATGTCTTGATGACATTCACTCAATTTAGCGTCTTAGAATGGAAATGTGCTTTTGGTTGCTTTGGCCTACTGGACCAGCGCTCTCCAGTAGATGGCGGTAATGCAACATTTATGGATGCCAACTGCTGTAAAAAACTTAAAAACTTTATTTACAGGGCTGCCAACTTTTCAATTTATTTGGA